TAAAGATGTGTCTAGTATGATTCATTTTATACTTACATGTTGAGTCTTTTAATGATTTCATAAGTGATTTACATCCAACATATATATTTTTTTTAATTTTTAAATCAATTGTGATTCAGCATATTATATTTAATTAGTTTCATTTTAAGTATATTATTTCTTTCAGACTGGTATAAAAATGTTGAGGGCGATATTTTTCTGAAGTAGGTAGATTGTAATAATCCAAAATATGAAAAAAAAAAACTTATAATAAAAATTGAAATTTTTATTTGAACTAAAGCTCTTTATCACTATGCTTGATAGCGCTACAGCCCTAGACTTGAGAGCACAACAGCACCAAAAATCATCATCGCGATAATAGAGTCTATGTTCTACAATAATTTTAAATTCAACAAGCGACGCTATAGTGATGGGTCAGAGCACTATGGTGCTAGGCAACTAATTATATATTTATATATAAATCCTAAGCACTAAATCCCCTCTAGTGCTGCCGCATCCCCATTATCACTTGGCTTGCCATGGAAGAAGAGCTAGAGGGAAAGGGAGAGGAAGAGGAGAGAGAATATTATGTTTTAGTCATTTTTATTCATTACTTTAGTCAAGAAAAAATCTTTTGATCACTGTAAGTAAATATATTCTTACTCTTGTTTTCAATGATTTTGATTTCTACAATTTTGCCTCTTCCAAATATGTCAAAAATATATTTTCTTCTAATTTATCACACATTGACAATGTAACTTTTTGTATATGATAGATACAAATTTTATAGATATTTTGACTATAATATTATTAAATTTAACTAGAAAAAATGAAAGTTAGGATTTTCTAAAGCTACAGATTGATTCTTTGTGTTTTATAGATTTAAACATTTCTAGTTGCATTTCATGCATGAAAGGGAGATTGATACAACTAATATGAAATAAATGTAGTATGTAAGTAAGGTAGGCTAGCTATTAATACTATATTAATGCGGGTTTGATGTTAAAACATAATACCCTACGTATGAGGGTGGGCTAATGAGTTATCTTTTAAATAGGATGGTGGTGTAATCCATGTTCTAGCTTGTAACAGATTAACTGAATTACCCATACATGTAGAGGGGGATGACTCTTAAATGATTTGAAAGTCAAATGTGAATTGACTTAAGATAATGAATAATGTTGGTAAGATAAAGATTGATAACCAATTGGTTGGTCGTTAAGATTAAATTAAAGGCCCAATTGTGTGATAATTAGGGTGGAAGGATTAAAATATTACATTCAAACTGGATGTCTTGCCTTACTTTTTATTGTATTCATGATTATATTTACATGATAGTTTATTGAACTAATTGATAGATGGATTGACATAACAAACTAATGATAATTATATTGCATAATGTTTGATAGAGGCATATAATAGAATCATAAGCATGAATTTATTAGATATATTGATGTTTGTTTCAGTATAACACTTGTTATAGATTTATAGATTTTTTTTCTTATTTCTTATAGTTTGATAAATATCTTTTGCTTAGTGAGATACTCTTATTTTATTGGTCATATTAATTTTTATTATTAATTGATATTGACTAGAAGTGGAGCATACCTATTGATTCTATTATATTGCATTAAAGTTAGATGATGAGTTTTAGTTACTTGCTAGACTTTGTAAGCTCATTATATAATTTTAACATGATTTCAAGTAAATTTAAGGAGCCCATGGATTGAGGCTTAGCAGTAATGATGTTTTATTTTATTTCAAGTTCTTTAGTTATATGTATTCTTTTGTAGTTAATAGTTGCTTTTTGTATATTATTTTGGACTTTGAAATAAAATATGTAAATATTAATAGTAGCAATGTAATTATATTTTTCATGTTGTTTATATATTCTTTAATTGAATTAATTAGCTATGTATATCAAATTAATCTAGATATAAATGAATAATTATTGGTTGTTAACTAAAAGAAAAATAAGTAAAATAAGTTGAAAAGATAATAAAAAGACATTCTTTCACTTTAGATCTTGAGGTATTACATGTATGAGCCCAAAAGGCTCGGCAAAATATTTCCACAAAATTCTTAAAATATTTGTATATTTATGAACGACCCTATAAAAACTGCTAGTATACTCCAAACTCTCCAAAAAATTCTTGGATTGTTTGGTACATTTATTATCCCCACAAAAAAGTAATTCAAGTTACACAACTCATTTTCTCCATATTGGTTGTTTAACTCTAGAACTAGGTTGTCCATGTTTAGTGTAACTAGAAATAGGTTTTCCTATCGAATTTTTGCAAGTTATTCTGTGATGGCCCCAAATACCACTCCAACTACAATTATGTTCATTTGTTTTCTTATTTGTGCTTAACTCCAAGAAATTCATGAATCTTCTTTTCTTAGGTCATCCTCTAGATTTGAACAATTTGGACACACAAATTTGGACATCATCTTCAATGACATACCATTGATCCTTGTTAGGAAGCATTTTTATTGCACCTTCATAAGCTTGTTTGGACATGAAATTAACTCAATTTAGTCAACAAAAAAAAAACATAAATGTAATGTAAGATTATAAATGACATGGTATAAATGATTAACATAAACATGCTAAAGTGGTTGTTACCAATTATTGTAGCTTCGTGAATACATAGTAGGCCACTCATTTTCCAAAGGTTGCAAGTTCATTCTCTAGTATCAATGTTGACTTCATATCTCTCTTTCTGACCATCAACCATGAGCTTAAATGATGTTGACTACCTAATGACATTCACCCCTTATGTGTTGTAACTTCTCTAACACACTCCTCAACATATGAGACTAGTTCTCCTTTTCACCCGCCTGCTATAAGTTTCCTCTTGGACCTTTGCTCCATTATCATGCCCCTGATCATATCAATGTACTCAACTAGAGGTTTGCATCTTGATTCTCCAATCCATGAATTGAAATATTCGGCCATATTATTTGTGTTGGTGTGATTCCTTATTTCAAATGAAATTATACTTTTTGACCACTTATATGGTAAAGAAATCAAATATAAATGAATTGCTAGACTAATGTTATTTATCTCCATTAACTTGGATTCAAAATCAAATATTTTGTAAGCATTGATAAAAGACCATACTAAGTTTCATAACCTTGGACTATCATAACAATGAAAGGATGCATACACACTCTATGTTTTGCTTCAGGGTACACATTTTTATTGCTTCTCCTAGACCTTTCTCCATATCTGATATAAATCCACGTGGATATAACTCACAGCTAAATGATTCTTTCAAATATATAAGAATCATTGCCATGTATCCCTAGATTCTATTCCAACCATTGTGAAAGCTAAAGTAAAAAAGACCATTATTGTCATCAAGGAATTGGAAGATAACAAAACACCCAAATACTTTGATTTAAGGTGGCAAACATCAAGCCCAATTAAAGGTCTAAAACTTACGATGAAGCCATCAATGAAAACTTTAACATAAAACCTCTTAAATGAGTAATCATTAGTATAATATGTATATGTGATATGAGAGCCTGAATTTCTAGCAATGAGCGCACATCTTAGTACGAACCCATTTGTTTATATTTTGTGCTACTTCTCTAGAGTGCCACAATTTCATATTTCATGCTCCAAAGTTTATATTTCGTGTTGTTTTTTCTAGAATGTCACAATTTCATATATGATAATGATAATCCATACATTGACTCCAAACTATCATTAATGTGCTTTGGTGGTATGTATGGTTGTTTCTTTACAATATCCTATATTTCAATAGCAACCTACTTAGATGTAGCAAGTTTATTTCCACCTCTGTTGACACCATAACATAGATTTGTATTATCTAGCTTTTTAGCCTCAAAAGTCTAACCATCTTTACATAGATGCATGTATCGTCCAAAGACATCCTCAATGCAAGCATGTGCTATAACTATAGTCTTATCACTAGCCTTGATCTTGATCCCAAAGTTATTAATGATGGTAGTGGATTGTAGAAACTACTTAAAACCGATTGTGTCATGAAAGCAGGCACCACCTACTAATGCTTTTATCATCACCAACTTGAGTTATCAAGTAATTATAATTTAAGCTTTGAAAATCAATAATGTTTGAAGCAACATTATTTGAACTTGGGTGACATTGCTCCAAACCTTCTGAGATCATATCAACCTCATTTTCATCTTTTAATGCAACCACAGCTTCAACCCGCTGACTTTTATTAAACTGCTATATCATTTGTATTACCTCAAAATCACTCTATATAGTTTTTTTTTTTTTTACTTTGGGAGAAGTAACACATATATGATTGTGTAATTTGAAGTCATGGCCAATAAATCATGGGCAAATCATTTCAACATTTTCTCTGAGGAAAAAAAAGTTAGTTAAATCATTTTTTGTTTGACTTTTAACTTCACTTTAATATACCCCAAATTTAAATGTAATAAGAAGTCATTCACTCTCATTTAACTTTACTCCAATTTAGTAAAAATCAATCAAAAATATATATGATGTGTTAATAATACATCATTCAACTACTTAATCGATAAGGTAGAGAACCGGAAAAAAAAAACTTATCACTAAGTAGCAAAAAAAATATTTAAGGCAAGAGGAATACAATTCCAGTTGGAGCTTGCGACTTTCAAGGGAACCCGAGCTTTCGCTCCAGATAATGAAGAGAACGACCTGATAGGGCACCGTCGATCTCACGATGATGTGGAAGATCGTAGATTACAACGTCATAAGGACAATAGTTCTCATGCGTGTCTCATGAAGACGAAGTGGTAGAAATGATTTGATAGAGGAGAAATAGGTGTCATAAGTATATTTTAAAATTTTTAGGTATTAAATATACAAAATAATCAAATTTCAAATCTTATGTATGTAAATCCCCTTCTTTTTTATCCAATGAGGCGCCAACAATAACAAATCAAGGCTTTCTCGGTTGGCAGCTAGCTGTTATTAGGCTCTTGAGTTGATCTGAAGTGGAAGGAGCAGACGCGCCCACGACCCACAACACAGAAAGAAGAACCGAAATCATCTGGAACTCGTGGTCCTAATTTGCCACTTCTTTGTTTCCAATCTGCTGCTCGTCACCAATTTCTGGTGATCTTTTTTGCGCTCAAAACTACTGTGTTATTAAGATAAAAACCCAGATCAAGCAAGATGCCCGATTCCGAGCGTTTCTCGATTTTCTCAAAAGGAAAGAGAAGTGATAATTTAAGAAAAAGAGGAGAGGGGTAAAGTGACAATGGAGTCGCCGTTCAAGCCCGATATTCTTAAGGGGAAGGTGGCGCTCGTGACGGGAGGAGGATCCGGGATCTGCTTCGAGATCTCCACGCAGCTCGGGAAGCACGGCGCCGCCGTTGCCATAATGGGTCGCCGCCGTAGCATCCTTGACACCGCCGTCGACGCCCTCCGGTCGCAAGGCATTCGCGTAATGTCTCTATCCCAATTATGGAACTTTCTTCAAGTTGATCCATCTCGAAAGGGTTAATTTAAGTGCAATGTCGAAGGGATTTGTGTTTACACGCGTTTGCTTTATGTGGTTCGTATCTCAAATTGGATGATGATTCTTTTTTGGTTGCAGCTTTTCTTCTATTTAATTCTTAAAGAGAAGTATTGATTTCTTTTGAGCAATAGTAAGATGAGACTGGAGCTGTTCTTAAGCTGTCTCAAATATACTCTGAGATGCCAGGCTGATTAATGAAGCTAATTACTTTATAAATGTAGGGATAAAGATTACATAAATTGACCAATTCCTAGTTCTATGTTGGTCGAAGCTTCACGCCGAAGAGCTTAGTTAGCACATGTACTGTATTGAATAGCCATTAATTCTACAGAAGATTCTGATAATTTAATTGTATATAGTATAACCAAAAACACTATTATGATATACGACGGACTCACCTGTGCACGCGAGGAGACGACGCCTGGATTCAGCAGCCGACGGGCATACCTGCAAGAACAAGGAACATAGCAATAGAATAGTAACTTGGGAGAGAAGAACTTTTAGTATATCTGTATGTATCCTATCAGAGTCCCTTTTATAGCTATATAAGCCAGGAGGCCTCTCCATTAGTAACTAACAGAAAGAAAGGTAAGATCGTACAAAAAGTAAGAAAAAAGGGTAAGGTAGTGGCCACAGTGGCAGCGTGTGCTTCTCATGTGCCTGCGGAGGAGATTATCCGCATCAGGTCTCCCCGTCTTCAGAAGAACTCGTCTCCGGCGAGGTTAAAACGGTGTTGGCGTCATCGGGAGGGTGATACGAATGTATGTCCGACACATTAAAAGTAGAAGACGTCTGGATATCTGCCGGCAAATCAATGACATATGCATTGTCGTTTATTTTCCTCAGAACAGGGAAAGGCCCGATCTTCCTGGGACTAAGCTTGGTGTAGGTGCCAATAGGGTAGCGCTCTCGTCGGAGTCGCAGCATTACTAGGTCGCCAGGGTTGAAGCTTTTGAAACGCCTATGAGGGTCGACTTGTTGCTTGTACAGGCGGTTAGATTCGGTTAATTTGTGATGTACCTGATCCACAATGTCTTTGAATTGCTCGGCGGCCTGTGCAGTAGCAGTGCTATGGCACTTTGGAAGTATAGCGACATCAACTACCTGGTTGGGCATTTTGGTATACACAATGCTGAATGGGCAATGGCCAGTGGATCGGTTTGGCATTGAGTTAAAAGCGAATTCAGCTTGACTTAGCATCTCCTCCCACTTCTTTGGGTGGTCTTGAATTAGGCAGCGTGGCATATTACCGAGAGTCCGGTTCACCACTTCAGTCTGGCCGTCAGTTTGCGGGTGATAGGCGGAGCTAAGGTTGAGCTCCGTGTGAAGACGTTTCCACAAGTCACGCCAAAAGTGACTGACGAATTTAACGTCGCGGTCGGAGGTGAGACTCCGAGGTACCCCGTGGAGGCAGACGATCTCCTTGAAGAAGAGTTTAGCGACATGAACGGCGTCGAAGGTCTTCTTGCAGGGGATAAAGTGCATCATTTTGGAGAACCTATCCACCACTACCATGATTGAATCGGCACCAATTTTGGTTCGCGGAAGGCCCAGGACAAAATCAAGACTAAGATCTTCCCAAATTGAATCTGGTGTGGGAAGGGGTAGGTACAAACCGGTGTTTTGTGCTGTCCCTTTATAGGTCTGACAAACCGAGCATCTCTCTACAAAGCGGGACACATTGCGGGATAAATGGGGCCAAAAGAACCGTGCCTACAGCTGGGCCAGAGTTCTATCCCTTCGGACATGGGCAGCCAAGTTGCCGCAGTGCACTTCCTTGATTAGGAAGGGACGCCAGGATGACTGCGGTATGCAGAGACAGTTGGCTTTAAACAGGAATTTGTGGCGAAGACTATAGTCACTTGGTGGCTGCCCGGATTGGCATTGCTCCCAGAACTATGCGAAGTCCTCATCAGTCGCGTATAGAGTCTTTAACTCTTCGAGTCTGGTGATCTCGGTTTGTAGCCTGACCAACATAGCGGCCCTTCGACTAAGCGCGTCGGCCACTCGATTGAGCTTGTCCGCCTTGTGTTGTAGCACAAACGTGAATTTCTGGAGAAAGACGATCCAACGAACGTGCATACGGCTTATGTTCTTCTGATTGTTAATATACTGAAGGGCTTGATTGTCGCTGCACAAGACGAAGTCCTGATGGAGGAGGTAGTGCTCCTATTGTTTCAAAGCTCTTACGAAGGCGTACAACTCCTGTTCGTAAGTAAACCACTTTTGTCATACCGTACTGAGCTTCTCACTGAAGAACTCGATCGGTCGGGAGTCCTGCAATAGCACAGCACCAATTCCCACGGACGAGGCGTCTGTATCCACATGAAATGGCTTGTCAAAGTTAGGCAGGGTCAGGACCGGAGCGGAGCACAGGGCTTCCTTAATGGTGTCGAAGCTATGTTGCTGTGCGGTGGTCCAAGTGAAACTGCCAGCCTTTAAACAGTCAGTGAGAGGGGCCACGAGGATGCTAAACCCGCGGATGAATCGACGATAGAAGTTTGCTAGGCCGTGGAAGCTTCGGACGCCAAACAACGTTTGAGGAGTAGGCCATTCACGGATCGATTGGACCTTCCGTGGATCTACTTCCACACCATTGGCGGACAAAATGAACCCCAGAAAATGGACGCTGGAGGACGCAAATTCACACTTGTGTGGATTCAAATAGAGCTTGTGCCGCTGGAGCAGTTGCAAGATGTCCGACAGGTGCTTTATGTGATCTGAAAGGTTAGTGCTATAAACAAGGATATCATCAAAATAGGCCACATAAGTCTTCCCCAAGAACGGTTGCAGCACCTCCTGCATTAAGCGCATGAAGGTAGAGGGTGCATTGCAAAGCCCGAAGGGCATTACCTTCCATTTGTAGAGGCCATCGCGCGTTTTGAAGGCGGTCTTCCACTCGTCTCCGGGGCGAATGCGGATCTGATGGTAGCCACTGCGAAGGTCCAACTTGGAGAAGATTGCGGCTCCCTCCAGTCGATCTAGTAAATCCGAGACCCTGGAGACCGGGAACCTGTATTTCACAGTGATTTTGTTAATGGCGCGGCTGTCGACGCACATACGCCATTGACCATCCTTCTTCGGCACCATTAGCACTAGCACAGCACACAAGGACTCAAGCTGGGTTGGATCGTTTGTTTGCTAAGAAGATCTTCGATGATATCTTGCAAGATGGAATACTCCTTGGCGGTCATACGGTAGTGTGGTAGATTAGGCAAGGTGGCGCCGGGAACAAGCTCAATCTGATGTTGTATTGACCACAGAGGCGGAAGGCCGGGTGGTAAATCAGGAGGCAGGACGTCCACGAACTTGGATAACAATTCTTGGATCTCAGCTGGAGGTGGGACGGTGACAAAACTACTATGGTTGTCGGATACCACCAGAGCCATAATAGAGTCAAGATCTTGTCGGGATTGTAATAACATCTTACCCGAGGTAACATAGACCGCATTAGGAGCGGAGGCTACACCTGTGGGAGTTGGGTTCTGCGGACAGAGCCTAAGCTTCTTCCCCTTCCAGTCGAGAGTGTAGACATTCTGCCTGCAATTGTAGACGGCGTCCATGTCATACTGCCATGGCCTTCCCAGAATAAGGTGGCAGATATCCATGTCGATCACGTCACAGAGCACTTCGCAAGCATATTGTTTTCTGATCGAAAGGCCCACACGACACATCTCGGTCACCGTCACTTCCGTGCCCTTCCTGATCCAGCTGACCTTGTAGGGGTGTGGGTTAGCAGTGGTCTTCAACTGGAGAGCTTGAACTACCGTACGGGAGATTACGTTCTCAGTACATCCGCTGTCAACCAAAACTTCGCAGACTTTCCCCTGAATTGTACAGTGCGTCTTGAACAAGGCATTTCGTTGGTAATGAGTAGGAGCCCGCGGAGCTAGTAATAGCTTTTGAATGACACAAACTACTGGTCTCCGTTGTCACCATGAACATCCTCAAAACCATCCTCGGAATCGGGTTCACCAGAGGCATGATCGCCTTCTGTCAGCGGATGTTCTCCATCTATAAGTTGTATCCGTTGCCGGTTCGGGCACTCGTTGGACTTGTGTCCCGGTTGAAAGCACCTGAAGCACTTCAATGTATTGGGTCTACCATAAGGATTTTCCCGTGCGGGCAAAGGAGCCTTGCATTGTGTTCGAGACTCGGCAGCGGTCCCAGGTCCTGGTGGGGTGGATACGCTGGGCGATGAACGTGACGCCTAAGGCGTCTGAACACTTGAGGGCGGTCCTTTGGAGACTTCGGCATGAGACTCACCATAGCTTCTCCTCGCCAACTGACTACGGGAATGCCGTGACAATTGCGTCTCAGCTTTCAGGGCGAAATTCATAGCTTGGCTCAAGGTCCATACAGAATTAAGTTCTAATTTGTCCTGTATTGACTCACGGAGACCGCCAGTATACCGAGCAACGAGCTGGGTTTCGGATTCTCGGAGGTTATTGCGGGCTTAAACGGTAGAATTCTTCAGTGTACTCGCTCACGGATCGGTGGCCTTGAGTACATTGTTGATATTGAAGATATAGTATCTGTTCGTAATCTGTGGGCAAGAAATGGTTCTGGAGAAGCTGCTTCATTCGCGGCCAGTTACGAATTGGCCCGCGCCCTTCCCGCAGACGCGTTTGAAGCAGTTGTTGCCACCACGCACTATCCCCGCCTTTCAGACGACAGGCGACATACTTAACTTGCTTATCCTGGGCAATGTCCATGTAGTCGAAAAAGGACTCTTGTCGTCAGAAGCTTTTCGGGACGTCTATGCAGCCATCACTTCGATGCTAGCTCTGATACCAACTGACGGACTCACCCGTGCATGCGAGGAGACGATGCCTGGATTCAGCAGCCGACGGGCATACCTGCAAGAACAAGGAACAAAGCAATAGAACAGTAACTTGGGAGAGAAGAACTTTTAGTATATATGTATATATCCTATCAGAGTCCCTTTTACAGCTATATAAGCCAGGAGGCCTCTCCATTAGTAACTAACATAAAGAAAGGTAACGATCGTGCAAAAAGTTAGCAAAAAGGGTAAGGTAGTGGCCACGGTGGCAGCGTGTGCTTCTCATGTGCCTGCGGAGGAGATTATCCGCATCAATATAAGTTCAGCTGCCTCAAGTAAAATCGAAAAGAAATGTTTGTTTTTGTTAAATTTGATTAGTTTAAATAGATAATGTAGAAATACTATTAATATTTATAGCTTCATTGAATTAAGACTAGATAAATTGTCCTGTCGAAGACTTTATGCAATGATTATTAAAAAGGTATCCTCTTTCCTGTAGTAATATCTATATTGTTGTTCTTTGTGGTCAAACCTTGAATTTTCTGTCATGAAACGATTTTCTTATTGAGCTCCAGGAGATTCTTTGCTGCAGGCCGAGCTAATTAGATATTAGAAGAATATGGAGGACGCGGGGGTTTTTAAGTTGAGAACTTTGAACTGTGATCGCAAGGACAGATAACTATTTTAGTAATTTGAGGATGAAAGCTATGCACACAAAAAAAATCGTGTAGTTCAATGAGTCAGTAATTGTTATTATATAATCTAGAGATTGGTCTTTAATTTGACTTTATTAGATTTGTTCATATTTTTTTTTATGACAGTTTTATATTGTAAGCTAGAATTCCTCCATATTAAAAGGTGAACGAGTTAAGTTGTAATTGAACAAGAGTCAAATTACAACAGCAACAACATCAAGCCTATGTCCCACTACGTGGGTTCGGCTACATGAATCCTTTTTTCTCCATTGTGTTCTATTAAAAGTCAAATTATCGTTTAAATCTAATAAAGAAAGATTATTTCTAATATTTTCTAACATTGTCTTTTTAGTCATACCTCTACCTTTCTTAACATAAGTCAAATCTAATATCTCTACTTTCCTAACCGGGTCATCGGAAGGCCGCCGTTTTATCTGACCAAACCATCTAAGATGACTCTCTCTAATCTTATCTTCCACTGGAGCTACTCCAACCTTTTCGTATATGCTCATTTCATATCCTATCTCTAAGGGTAAAGCTACTCATCCACCTGAGCATCCTCATCTCTGCAACACTTAACTTAGTATTATGCTTCTCTTTTAATAACCAATATTTGGCACTATAAAGCATTGCAGGACTCACCACCATCTTATAGAATCTTCCCTTAAGTTTGAGGGGGGCTTTTCTATCAAATTAATAAAACTTATTTTCTTTGCTCCAAATTTACACCTATGTGATGTAAGAGTATTAAATTTCGACTCATATATGGTAGGTAAAAAATGATCTAAATGTATTAAGTGATTAGCTCTCACCAATAAATCGAAGTAGCCCAACTTTAGCCTCCTTTTGATCTACACTCCCTAAAAAGTGGTGTTAGGACTAATGGTTTGAAATAGTTGAAAACATGCTTGACTTCAGGCGTATGTAACCCAACTTTAGCCTCCCTTTGATACAATCTCCCTAAAAATTGGTTGGGCTAATGTTTGGACTTAGCTCACCTGTTTTCATGCGGTTTGTAGCTTCCCTAAAAGTTAATATGAACTTGTCATGTTCGCCCTATGTTTTTTTTTTCTCCTTAAGCATTTGGTCTCCATGAGAACAAACTAGAGTTTCTTTAAAATCATATATATTCCAGCAACGTCAAGCCTCAATTTATTTGCTTGATAACTATAAGATGGCTCCATCTTCAGCATTGCTGTTGACTTTACCATGGTTTCAAGACGTTTATGATATCTTAGGAAACAAATACGTTATATTTTTTTAGGCTCTATTACTTCCTTTGGGAGCATTGTCGATGCTTTTGTCCTTAGCATCTACACACGCCCCCACATAAAAGGTATTTGCTATTTTAAACTAGATTTAGTGCTGAATATAAAAAACACTCTCTTTATTTTGTATTTCAGGCTATTGGATTTCAGGGAGATGTCCGCAAACAGGAAGATGCAAGAAGGGTTATAGAAAGTACCATTAGCCATTTTGCAAGGCTTGACATTCTTGTAAATGGGGCGGCAGGCAATTTTCTAGTATCTCCCGAGGACTTATCAACTAATGGTTTCAGGACAGGTAGGATTAGCTTGTTTTGCATTCTCTTTCCTCTCTTTTTATTTGTTGCTTTCAAATAAGGTCTAGCATGATATGATTTTGCTTTTTTTTTAATAAAGAAATGATTTATTAACATTAAAGATAGTATGTGATAATTTTTGCCAATTCTTATGGGCAGCATCTTGAAGCGAGCTTAAGGTGGTTGTCTTGTAATAAATGTGGAGTAATAGGGGTTTATGATATGAATAATGTTAGGATTAGAAGTGTAAATAAGTCAAGCTGAGCTTGAGCCATCCTTGATTTGAGCTTGAGTTTGATTAAGTAATCATGTTCAAACTCGAGCTAAAGCTTAATTTTACATGTTTGAGTTGGCTCACGGGTTGGCTCGTTTCTTATAAAAGAGAGAATTTATAATTATTCTAATAACATGATAAAAGAATAAGAATTTAAATTAGAAATAATAAGAATTACTTGAAATAAGGAAAAGAGAATTTTTAAATAATTGTGAAAACTTTCTACTAAATTTATTGAATTTTTATATTAAGTGTGTTTTATATTAACATTTTTTTAAAAAGTCGGCTCAAGAGCTAACTTGTCTACCAAATATTTCTCTGATAAAATTTGGGTTGGCCCATAGAACTTAGGTTACATACAGTTTGTGAGTATGGAAGAATTCCCTGCTTATTATGTGCATTGTAACTCATTGGGTCATTCAAAGGTTGAATGTTCTATTTTACATCCGCATCTTAAAATTTCTTCTGCTATCCCTGCTTCTTCTATTCAGCCCTCAAATAATATGTTGCGTGGGTGTGGGGAAGTCTCTGTTGAGCTTCCTTTAGCTGTAAATGTTTCGTATGAACATGTGGCTTTGGCTTCTTTTGGCCTTATTATTTCGGATGATGGTGTCAATGATTTGGCGCTGGATTTAGGTAATGAAGGTTCTTGTGCTGATAAGGATTTGGCTTTGAATCTGGATCCTGTTGATGCTGTTGTCGGGAATGATGTTGGTCTTTCAGTGGAAGATGTTGGTCCTTTGGATTCTGTCTTACCCTTGAATGATCCCGTTTTTGTTGGAGAGGATGGGGTGCCTTCAACTTTTGATTGCCCTAGAATAGATGGTGTTGAAGGTCTTGATGTCTCCTTGAATGGCAATAATTGTTGCATTAATCTTATTTCTAGTCATACTTGTGCTGATGATGTGGAGGTGTCAAGAGACAATTTTGTTTCTTTGGTTCATGAGGGTGCTGAAGCTTCGGATGAGCAGGGAATTTCAGATGATGTGAGCCCTGCGATGCAAATTTCACATATTCATTCTATAATGCCTCTGGTTGATGTGTCAATTTCTGTTATCTCAAATGTTGATATGTTAGCTCATATTCATAGGGATAATGTTGTGAGGCATGCTGATTGGCTAGATGATGGCAATTCTTCAGCAGGTGGGGAAGAAATTAATGAGTTAGATTTGGATGCTCGGGACAACTTTGACTTAAAGTCTTCTTCAAATTGCGGATGTTGGGTTTTTTAAAAATAGTGTTAAGCATAGAAAACGTAAATCTAAAAAGAAATGAGTTCTCTTTTAGGAGGTTTTTTTTTGTTTTATGGTTAATCTTGTTATTGTTGGTTTTGCTGCGATGGATTCGGGTCAGGACAATGATGAAGCAGGTCTCCTGCATGCACCTCGGACGGTCATGGCTTGGTAGGCAACCTAGGTGGTTCTTTACTTGTAATTTCGGCTGTTTCCTTATTTACCTCATTGGTTGGCTCAAGCCTGGCAACCAGGTGGCGGTCTGAGTCCAATTGACTTTGGGGAATTTCCTTCTTGATTTTTTTCAACTTGTTTGGCCCTGCTGTTTCTTTTTTTTTTTTTTTTTTATTTTTTGATTTTTTTAACTTGTTTGGCCCCTCTTTTTTTTTTTTTTTTTTTTTGTAATCTCGATCTATGTGGCCATTATGGGTCTCTGAAAGGATTCTGCTCGTGGGATTCTAATGTAAAGAGTACGACCGCACTATCCCATAGGACAAAACGATCGTAGGTCTTTACAATCGACACAAGCAGGCCGATGGAAGAGCGGATTGAGTTATATATACGATTAGCTATAGAGAATAGCAGCTTTCACCTACACACCTCGATGGATAATAATATATATAACCCAAAATTTCACGAGATTTTCCCCATTCGATACATCAGCTCGAATGGGGTTTATTTGATTGTGGGGATCGGTTTCCTACGGGCGCAAGCTCCCGTAGTTAATTACATCTTAGACCTTGATCTAAGAAAACTCTCGATTAAGGATGTTAGATTATCTTCTCAAATGGGTTTAGTGCAAAGGAGTTTCTAGGCTTTCCTAATCAGAAGGGAAGATAGGCTCAATTTGGTTCAATCAATCATACGTGGTTCAAATCCACACTCGGTCGGTTTTAAGTAGAGGAAACTGGAGAAAAGGAAGAGACAATGCATTCAAACATGCATGAGAGAAAGAGGGAGGTGGCGTCATCTGTGTGACGCGAATTGGTAGGATTTATAGCCTCTGAAAGAAAGGAATGCTTACCCACCGATAAGGCGTACATTGGTACACTCGTACCACTAGCCTTAGATCCTAAATCTATAAATGATATAGTATCGTACATATGACATTAACATCTATGACCTAACTAATGCTATCTGGACTTGTACCTTGCCTGAAGAAGGAAGCCAGCTAAAATCCTAAGCACGACCAATCGTCCTATATGTATGTAAGATGAGAAGGCTCTATTCTAAGGAACCAAGGATTTGTAGTTAAAAAGGTTTAAATCAAGGACTCTATAATATGCAAAAGAATATACCTAGCGCTGTATATGATGCATGAAATAAATACAAAATATCCTTAAGTCTACTGATGTAATGCATGCATGTAAGGTGCGCTGTGAAGCAAGATGTGTAAAAATGCATTCATGACATCCAGAGTACAGAAAAAAAAATAAATAAACATACCAAAGGTACCCTTCAGGCAAGATACTCGCATCACATCACAATAGAAAATTATCCTAACGGTGCCCACTTCATGTGGGAAAACAACGATGCCCATGGCACAATAGGTAGCCTACTCTACATGCCTAAATGACCCTAATAGTCTCTAGGGCTCACAGAAGGGGAGGCAAGCTTTGACCTATAGGGTCAAAGCTTCGTTAGTGCACTACCCTATGGCTAGCTACCTAAACATGCTAGAATACCTATTAACAATATTTGTGTGGAGTGTAACAGTTTCGATATATAATTAAGAGTTTATTTTATAAGTTACAGAAATTATACCTGACTGTGGCGCTGCCACTTAATAGCTCCAAGCAAGTAAATTATTCTCGACCACACAAAGCATGAGGCACAGCCACATAAGAGCTTCAAGCGAGCATGTCACCCCAATGTACCATAGAGCATATCCATTTTTCACAAAAATCATCTAGCTTTATTTTCCCAAATGAAATGTTCATAAATGGTAATTTCGGCCACAAAAATTGCAGGATATTGACTGTAGCTAAGGGAAGAAATCGGGTAGACTAGGTAGATTGCGATAATAGCGAAGGAACAGAGCTCGGAGACCGTCGGGTTCAGTCCTAGGCTTGCGAATTTGAGAGAGGAAGAGGGCTCGGTGTCGCATAAGACCGACGTCGGGACGGCTGGAGGCATCGGGTACGGGTTCTATCGCGAACCAGGGGAGACAGGGATGCTGGCTTAGGGCTGGTTGAGGGCTTCAGCTTTGTCCAGGAACCCACAAACCAGAGGAGAAATCGGAAAGGGGGCTCGATCGGGGTCCTCTACGCACGGGAGGATGGGATATGAGTTAGATTTGGATGCTCGGGACAACTTTGACTTAAAGTCTTCTTCAAATTGCGGATGTTGGTTTTTTTAAAAATAGTGTTAAGCGTAGAAAATGTAAATCTAAAAATAAATGAGTTCTCTTTTAGGAGGTTTTTTTTTTTGTTTTTATGGTTAATCTTGCTATTGTTGGTTTTGCTGCGATGGATTCGGGTCAGGACAATGATGAAGCAGGTCTCCTGCATGCACCTCGGACGGTCATGGCTTGGTAGGCAACCTAGGTGGTTCTTTACTTGTAATTTCGGCTGTTTCCTTATTTACCTCATTGGTTGGCTCAAGCCTGGCAACCAGGTGGCGGTCTGAGTCCAATTGACTTTGGGGAATTTCCTTCTTGATTTTTTTCAACTTGTTTGGCCCTGCTGTTTCTTTTTTTTTTTTTTTGTAATCTCGATCTATGTGGCCATTATGGGTCTCTGAAAGGATTTTGCTCGTGGGATTCTAATGTAAAGAGTATGACCGCACTATCCCGTAAGACAAAACGATCGTAGGTCTTTACAATCGACACAAGCAGGCCGATGGAAGAGCAGATGGAGTTATATATACGATTAGCCATAGAGGATAGCGGCTTTCACTTACACACCTCGATGGATAATAATATATATAACCCAAAATTTTACGAGATTTTCCCCATTCGATACATCAGCTCGAATGGGGTTTATTTGATAGTGGGGATCGGTTTCCTACGGGCGCAAGCCCCCGTAGTTAATTACATCTTAGACCTTGATCTAAGAAAACTCTCGATTAAGGATGTTAGATTATCTTCTCAAATGGGTTTAGTGCAAAGGAGTTTCTAGGCTTTACTAATCAGAAGGGGAGATAGGCTCAATTTGGTTCAATCAATCATACGTGGTTCAAATCCACACTTGGCCTGTTTGAAGTAGAGGAAATTGGAGAAAAGGAAGAGACAATGCATTCAAACATGCATGAGAGAAAGAGGGAGGTGGCGTCATCTGTGTGACGCGGATTGATAGGATTTATAGCCTCCAAAAGAAAGGAATGTTTACCCACCGATAAGGCGTACATTGTTACACTCGTACCACTAGCCTTAGATCCTAAATCTATAAAAGATATAGTATCGTACATACGACATTAACATCTACGACCTAACTAATGCAATCTAGACTTATACCTTGCCTGAAGAAGGAAGCCAGCTAAAATCCCAAGCACAACCAATTGTCCTATATGTATGCAAGATGGGAAAGCTCTATCCTAAGGAACCAAGAATTTGAAGTTAAAAAGGTTTAAATCAAGGACTATAATATGCAAAAGAATATACCTAGCGTTGTATATGATGCATGAAATAAATACAAAATATCCCTAAGTCTATTGATGTAATGCATGCATGTAAGGTGCAATGTGAAGCAAGATGTGTAAAAATGCATGCATGACATCCAGAGTACAGAAAAAAAATAAATAAACATACCAAAGGTACCCTTCAGGCAAGATACCCGCATCACATCACAACAGAAAATCATCATAACGTTGCCCACTTCGTGTGGGAAAACAACGATGCCCATGACACAATAGGTGGCCTACTCTACATGCCTAAATGACCCTAATGGTCTCTAGGGCTCACAGAAGGGGGCTAGGGTCAAAGCTTTGTTAGTGCACTACCCTATGGCTAGCTACCTAAACATGCTAGAATACCTATTAACAATATTTGTGTGGAGTGTAGCAGTTTCGATATATAATTAAGAGTTTATTTTACAACTTGCAGAAATTATACCTGACTGTGGTGCTGCCACTTAATAGCTCCAAGCAAGCAAATTATTCTCGACCACACAAAGCCTGTGGCACAGCCACTTAAGAGCTTCAAGCGAGCAAGTCACCCCAATGTACCATAGATCATATCCATTCTTCACAAAAATCATCTAGCTTTATTTTCCCAAATGAAATGTTCATAAAATGGTAATTTCAGCCACAAAAATTGCAGGATATTGACTGTAGCTAAGGGAAGAAATCGGGTAGACTAGGTAAATTGTGATAATAGCGAAGGAATAGAGCTCGGAGACCGTCGGGTTCAGTCCTAGGCTTGCGAATCTGAGAGAGGAAGAGGGCTCGGTGTCGCATAAGGAAGGCCGACGTCGGGACGGCTGGAGGCGTCGGGTACGGGTTCGATCGCGAACCAGGGGAGATGGGGATGCTGGCTTAGGGCTGGTTGAGGGCTTCGGCCTTGTCCAAGAACCCACGAACCAGAGGAGAAATCGGAAAGGGGGCTCGGTCGGGGTCCTCTACGCACGGGAGGATGGGAGGAGGATGAGGAGATCGGGATCCGCCTGGGTTGCTTTCGAATGAGAGCGAGAGAGAGAGGGAATCAGTCCGAATCCGGGAGCCGAAGGCTTCCTCCTAGCCTTCTAACCGTCTCCCGACGTTCTGCTTCGCTCGAAACACCAAAACGGCCCCCCGCCCGTTTTAATCCTGCTAACGAGGGTCTGCCTTGTTCTAAAACGAGTGTATCACGAGACTCAGAAGCCCGGCAACGGCAGAGTCCAAATTTCAACACAATGAGAGTTGTTGGATCTAACTACCCGATTTGGAATTAAAATTCAAAATTCACTAAAAGCATATTGGAGTTTAATTGGAATCATCTTAGGCTGAATTGAGTCAAATTGGATGTGAATTTGATTCAGATGGGCTTGATTTAGAATTGGGCTGGGTTTGATCGATTTGATCAAATTAAACTCAAATTGAAATCGATTTAGGTCAAATCGAGCTTGTCGCGGTCAAAACAAATTGTTCGGGCTTGAATGAACAGGGTCAAGTCAAATTAACATCAATTCGGATCGATTCGAGTTCGAATTGGGCTCGACGAGGTCTAATTAAGTCGATCGAAAGTGCTCGAGCGAAAATAGAGGTCAACAGCCATCTCTTGGTCTTGTGGTGTATTACTCTTTATATCTAATAGATTTTATTTTGGAAAAAAAAAGCATACATACTCTTATAGCTGCGTTGCTAGTAGATGTCGCCTGAATCATTCTTTCTCTTGGTTATTAAAGAGAACCAAACTCCACTCTCTTCTGCTTTTCTCTATTCTCTTAGCTTATGTGGGATTCCAAACCTCTTCTAAAAAATCTTATTTATAGTAGTAATAAGAAATGAGTTTGAAAGTTTAAAATTAATTATAAAATCCTATAAGATTTTACAAAATATTCAAATTCAACAAAAGATCTCATAACTTACAAAAAAATTTAGCTATATCTTTGCAAATTTCAATCTAATATTTGCAATATAGGAAATCTCAATTATATCCTATAAAGATGTGATTGGAGGAAATTTTGACTATTCTTTAAGAGATAAGGAACAAAATGATCCCTAACTATTTAAAAGTCTCATTTTAGTCCCTTGATTTTTTTAAATAAGGACCTAAATGATCTCATGGGAAGATTAATTTAGTCCCTATTTAAAGTGCCAAGTGATGTGATACATGCAAGGAGTTTGCGAGAGATTAACAAGAGAATTTATTAAAAGTTACCAATATAAAATTATGCGTCAAAACAAAGTAAGTTTTTATAAATTCGCAGTCTTCTACTAGTTTAGGCAAAGAAGTACATGAAGATTAACCAAAACGCTCTTAATCAAATACAATGACAATCGTAATGCAATAGCTTATAACACAAATCCGAAATTTAATATTGAGATGTTCACCTTGAAGGTTTACTTTCTCTTTACGGTTCTAGGGCTTAGCGGATGAAGATCTTCCACACTAGACTTGAGATGACCACTAGGAGAAAAGAGTCGAGGATCTTGGTTGTTGGGAAGGTAGCCAGAGGTGGAGGAGTCAAAGATCGTCCGACGAGGAACCGCGGTGTTCTTGGTCGTTGAAGCTCGATATTCTCGGCGAGATAGTAAACGATGCGGTTGACGTAATGTTCCACTGTGTCGTCGTACTCCTAATCTGGTTCGTAGAAAGGGGAGAGTAGGATGCCGATCTTGCCTTGTGTGTTGTAAGCAAAGCCGTGGTTGATCTCAGGATCGGCCATGCACTATCGGAGAGAAGGAAGGGGAAGATTGTCTTCTTCGTCGGCTTCCAAACATAAGGAGAATGGGGGTTTTCACGAGGGAAGAGACACATGGGAGGGGCGGCTTGGGCTAGAAGAAGCGGAGGTAAAGTGAGATGGTTGAGAGATGGAGAATTATCTTAGAAAAGAAAATCTGATTTTAATTTTAGATTTTCGAATTGGGGAGGGAGGGAAAATTAATGCAAAATCAAAATCCCCAAATTAAGGTTAGGAGACGGCGGTTTTAGGAGGGGATTAGGGAAGCATTAATTGAGATTTTGAATTGGATTGGAGAGAGAAAGCATGGGTAAGGGGGGGCCGGCCATGTGGAGAGCAAAGGAGGGAAAATATTTTAAGCAAGAGGACAAAACCTTAAATCCGAAATTAAATTCAGATTTATGTATTAATGAGGGAGGGATGAATTTGAATTTCAAATTCAAACAAGGGGAGGTGGGTGATGGGCGAGAAATGGGTGGGGGAAATCGGTTGGAAGGAGGGTAGATGGATGCCGACGATATGGGGGAAGAATGGAATGGGGTGTAGGGGAAAAGAAGAAGACAACGAACCTCAAACTAAGGAATCCACCGCGGTTGACGGGTATTGCGTTCACCCACCTAGGGTCTCTCCTCTCATGAACTCACTTAGAGATCAAACAAGAAAACTAAAATTGCATTTCAATATTCATCATCCGATACAATAGAGGAGGCCACAATATATAGGTCTAAGGAAACAAAAATACAATGACGCAAATGTCCCTGGGGCTACAACTCAAAAGAAAGGGCACAATTGTAAATAGCAATTAATACATAAACATCAAAATAAAAACTAAGCATCAAAATAAAGGTTGTGGATCGTAGCCATCGATCTGCGCCTCCTACGCTGATATACTCGTCGAAAACGTCTGTCGATATCCTCATCACCAAGGGCCAAACTAGTACTTTTATATAATTGGAGATTATTTTGATGTTTCAAAAAAGGTAGTGGACTAATTCGATCATTTTCTCATTTCCTTAACATTAAATTAGTTATATCAGTTAGCCTAGTAGTTTCATCTTATCCGTTTTGAAGATCATAATTTGTGGTCTTATATTTTCACACTTTATGAAGTCAATAACTGTATTACTCTTATCTCTTTTCTTTGGGTTTCACAGTGCTGGATATTGATTCTGTTGGCACATACACGATGTGCCATGAAGCTCTAAAGTATCTAAAAAAAGGAGGGTCGGGGAAAGATCAATCTGCTACTGGTGGCCTTATTTTGAACATAAGCGCCACAGTACATTATACTGCAGCATGGTATCAGATTCATGTGTCTGCTGCCAAGGTATTTATCCTCACTCTGTTTTTCCTAAACGGTCACAATTACCACCCTTCCATCCTCCCACTCCCAACTCACCTTCTTTTGGGGACCAGTGGAATAATAAAATTTGATTTCTTTGTAATTAATGTTCTACTTGGGCAGGCAGCAGTTGATAGTATCACAAGGTCCTTGGCCCTGGAATGGGGTACAGATTATGAAATCAGGGTCAATGGAATTGCACCGGGACCAATTGAAGGCACTCCTGGATTGCAAAAACTTGCACCAGAGGAGATGAAGAACAAAGCACGAGAATACATGCCTCTTTACAGATTGGGAGAGAAATGGGATATCGCCATGGCTGCTCTCTTCTTGGCTTCTCATGCAGGTTCTTACCATTTTGTAATATTTATGAGTTTCTTCTTTTTCATTTATGATTTTCTCTTCTTTTTTTGTTCTCGCAGAGTGTTATCTTATAAGTAAACTTTTTATTCATAAATCATTAGAACAACTTTTATCTATTCATGTAACCTTTAGTCCATTACTCTACTTTCTAATCCTCTAAAAAAAATTTGATCTCTCTTCTAATTGACGTATTTTCTATCATTGATTGTACGATTCCAAATTACTTAAATCTATTCCCAATTATTTTATCTTCAATGAATTTTGTTACAACCATTCTTCTAATATAATTATTCTTTAATTTTCTTTTGTGTATCAAACATCATCTTAATATGCTTGTTTTGTCTGGCCTACTTAATAATCTTAAAAATTTTATTTGATCATGTAATAGTAATGAAATGTAGCAAAAAAAAACTTAGATGTGCCGTCCTGATAGTTAGAAGCTTTGTGGATGATATTTTTGTTATCCTAAGAAGATGGGCTTCCTGATTGGTTAAAACGTATAGCATAAATTTTCCAATCCGACCTAGGTTTCTCATATATATATATACCATTTTATAGTTTTCAAACATACTGTCAACCGGTTTATGTTCGTTTGCATCCTGAAAACTATGTATGGAGAGTTTCATTAATTCTCATAAAGATGTAATCATTCATCGAGCATGTAAAAAGCATGAGAATAATCAGACGAGATATAAAAGCCTACCCAGAAAACTCAATTTTACCCATATATTTCACTGAAAAAATTTGTTAATCCTCCAAGCAATATTATGAAAAATCCATGCATTATATTCCAGATCGTATATCCATGCATTAGATAGTCTATCACAACCTAGCTAGCATCATGACCTTACCTCGATCTGAGAAATCCCATAATAAAATCCATCATCACTTCTTCCCATTTCCACTCTAGATTAGGTAACAGTTGCAGAAGACCTCCCGGTCGCTGATGCTCGGCTTTCATGACAGGTTCTTTGAAACAAAATCTGTCACATCCATTTTCAATCCAAACCACCGGAATATATCTTTCATATTATTGTATATTTTGCTACTTCTGGGATGGATATTATATCCTAAATAATATGTTTCAGTAGAGTAACTTATCTCAGATCTTCAGAACTAGGAACCCACAATCTCTTTTTACAGAAAATGATATTAGAATCAGAATTGCAATTCAGGTTTATTACAATATTTATTTTGATCAATCAGTTTCAGTTACTCTAGATATGACTTATGGACTTCTTGAATCCTCTCCTATAGGGATAGTTGGATAATCATCTGAGTTAAAATATCAGAATCCTGATCAATATGAGAATCACCTCCAACTGTAATTCTTCTATATCCTGAATCAGATGTTTGTTAAAGGTAAGCAGAATACTTGAAATTCCAGAAGACTTTCTTCTTAAAGCATCTGTCACTATATTGGCTTTACCAGACTGATACTAAATAGTCAAATTATAATATTTGATCAGCTCAAGCTATCTCCTTTGTCTCATATTCAAATCCTTCTAAGTAAATATATATTTCAAACTCTAATGATCAGTGAATATCTCGCACGCAACTTTGTACACATAGTGCCTTCAAATTTTCAGAGCAAACACAATAGTAGAAAGCTATAAGTCATGTGTCAGAGAATTCCTCTTGTATGGCTTCAAGTGTAGGAAAGCATATGTTATAACTTTTCTATATTGCATCAAAACACATCCTAATCCTTTTAGTGAAGCATCACTAAATACCTAGAATCTTCTGTACCTGATTGGATAGTCATAACTAAAGCAGATGTCAAATAGTCCTTTAACTTCGAAAAGCTCTCACAGTCTGATGTCCGAATGAAAGCTGCTGTCTTTTGAGTCAGTCTCACCAGAGTTGCATAAATCAAAAAAGCCCTTTCACAAATTTCCTGTAATAGTCGATCATGCCTTAAAAACAATCTATTTTAGATATAGTAGTAAGTCTCAGCCAATCAACAACAGCCTGAATTTTATGGGGATATATAGAAATACCTGTACTGCTTTTCACGTTCCCCAGAAATGAGATACTCTTCAGGTATAATTCACACTTAGAAAATTTTGCTGCAACTGATGCTACGTTGGCATCTCTAGAATCATCCTCAGATGCACTGCATGATTTTTCATAGAAGCTAGGTGAACTAGAATATAATCTAGAAAGATGATCATAAACCTATCTAGATACTCCCTAAATACTCTATTTGTTAGATCCATAAAAAATGTAGGTGTGTTAATCACCCCAAAAGGCATGACTAAGAACTCATAATGCCTAAATCTTGTATCGAATGCAATCTTCACCATATCTTTTTTTGCCCTCACCTGATAATATACAAATCTCAGGTCAACATTAGAAAATACCAAAGCTCCTACAAGCAAATCAAATTGATCATCCATCCTTAGTAGAGGATAATTGTTCTTGATTGTTACCTTATTCAACTCTCTATAATCTATACACACACATCATGTTGTCCTTTTTTTTACATATAGAACATGAGCTCCACATAGAGATACACTAGGAATGACGAAATCTCGATTGACTAACTCCTGAAGTTGTACCTTCAACTCTTGAAGTCCCTTAGGTGTCATCCTATACGGAACCTTAAATATTGGAGTGGTACCAGGAAACACATCAATACATAACTCGATCTCTGTATCAGGCGGCATACTTGCTAACTCCTCAGGGAACACATCAAGAAATTCCCGTACTATCGGGTCATTAGTCAGAGATCCAAATCCTACACTCCTATTCCAAACAAATACTAGAAATACCATATTTCTTTTCCTCCACAACCTATCCACTTGTATTGTAGATAAGATAGAACTCATCTAACTCTTTGAATATAAGCAACTCTCATTACTCATAAATAAGGTAACTCTTTTCTTCAAATAATCGAGTCATGCTTCGTATCAACTCAACCAATACATACTCAGAATGATGTTGAATTCAGAAATAGGTAATAATATCAAACTAGATCTCTATTTTCTATCAGATATTTCAATATAATAGAAATATACTCTACTGGCTATCATATTATTTCCAGTCTGAAAAATAACAAAGTGAAAAAGATAATAATTCATAAGGCAAGTGCATCAAATTAAAATGTTTCTCAAAAATAAAATAAGGATTAGCTCTAAAATCGAATAAAATGCGGCATGACATATTAAAAATGTAGGTCACAACTGTAATCACATTTGGAGCGTCTCTAGCCTCATACTGAGTCAAAAAGTGTATACATGTGCTTGAACTGGAGCTTGAGAATGAAACTACCATATTCTCTCTGATCGCTCCCAAATGATCTCCCTACCATAGAACTAGAACCACTGCCTATGTTAGATGATACCTCAATAAACATACGTGAAGGAATTGTCCTCGATCTCCATGAAGATATAACAGAACTCTCACTTGGATCGGAACGTCGATCAAGCCCTGGGTGTGGACACTTAGTCATTTTGTGTCTAATCTAATAGCATCAAAAGCACTAACCTGCATCCTGCAGCACTAACCAAAATTTCTCCTGCCACAGCTCTAGCACAAAAGTGCACCACTAACAGAATCTCTAGAACTGGCATTGCTGCCCTACCAATAATTGATACAGGTTAACCACATCTCCTGGAATCTCTAGGTCCAAACCTACTCCTATTTCCATAAAAGCTGCTACCATAATATTTTCGCTAGACCTCTTCTTACTAGTAGTCTATCTCTGTTTAGAAGTTATCATATCATTCTCTATTAGATGGACTCTTTCCACTAACTCAGATAAATCAGTAATGTGAAACAGAAATAGTGCCCAAAAAAATTAGGGTCGGTAGGTATGACCTACTGAGTTTTGTGGACTCACACATATTCTACATCCTGTTTCTAGTAAGGGGAAAGGGAAAAGGGAAGGAGCCGGTTGAGTAGCTATAGTCTCAGGTTTTGATCTGTCTGAGTTTGTATATGTATTTTTTTATTGGGAAATTTACATGCATACCACTTATAACATCCTATTTACATATCTAACACCTAAAACTTTAATATTACATGCATACCACCTATATTATTTTAATATCAAATATACCACTTATATTTCTTTCATACCACTCATATATTTTATTTCTACCACTCATATTTGATATGAAAATGAACTATGTGTGGTATATATGTAATATTAAAGTTTCATGTGTTAAATATGTAGATAGAATAGTATAAAGTGATATGTATGTAAATCTCCCTTTTTTATTTTTGTACAGTCCTGGCTATTTATTTCTTTGTTCTATTTTGGTATGTAATCATGTATTGCAGGTTGTAGATTTTAGTGTAAATATATTTTGATGATAAAAAGAAAAAAATATATGGTTGAATTTATTTTATTATGATATAGAAATTAATTAGAAACTTTGTGGTATGTTAAATTTTAAAGAAATTTGAAAAATCTCCAAAACTTAGATCTTGAGCTTGACCTATCAGCATTCAACACAATATGACATATTCTGTTTGTAGGTCATATTGAGTTGGGTTGTAATACATAGACTCTCTTACCCCCTACACTCTATGATAAGGTGTCACACTCAAATCCTAGACAATTCCAATACAGTGATAGATCATGTTGAGATAGAGGTAGCAAAATAGGAGAACTTTATTTAATCTTCCAAAATATATTACATTCATCTGTCATGACATTTTTTTTCCTGTATAAATTTGGATCATTTGAGATCAATCCACATTTTTGCACACATCATAGCCACTTAATCCATTGCAGTACGGTAGACAATGGATAAAAAAAAACATAAACTTGTAATGTTTATAATCCAAAAAAAAAACACAAGTGAACTTAATCATGATCTTTGTGTGCAAAATTTCAAAGCATAAACATTCATATTTACAAAAAAGCGCATTTACTATTACCAAAAAGTATGCATTTTCAAATCGATCATCTACTCCATCTATTCTTTATCCTTTCCTAAAACAAATAACAATGCAAATACGATAATGATGAGC